TCTTGTTCAACCTTCATTTGCCCAATTTTGCTCATTATTCAAAAAGAACACAACAACACACACACACATACAAAATACATATATATACAGCAAATAGATATATAATAGGAGTGAAGGAAAGCTCCACTAACTGATACATTTTTTTTTTATGATTCGAATCTCATTTGCAATTTTTTTTAACTGTTATGTCGCAGGAATATTCCAAGGAGCTTCGAAAACTTGACAATGCTAGAGGAGTTGGATCTTTTCCAAAATAACATGGAGGTATGCCTTCAACAATAATAAGTGCTCTTCATTTTTTGTTTGATAAAATATTTTATGCATAAGCAAGCCTATATTATTTTTTTTGTTAGTACATTTTTTTTTGTTGCTATATTGCAAGACATTATATTAGTTAAAAAAAAAATAGGCGATGTCACAAGGAACCGTTTGTTTTGAAATTTCGTAATCTTATTAAGCTTTTTGGCTATATCAAAAGGCTTAGAAAATATCATAGTTTAAATGCATTTTAACACCACAGTTTATTTTAACCCCCCACTGCACCATTTTTCTCTTTTCGTACACAATATTAAAAATATTATAGTGCAAATGCAGTTTGAAAAAAATAATATAACTAGATACTAGATTACAAATCTACAAAATATCCTACTTTCGTTATTTGAATACTATAAAATAGGCGTGGCTCATCCAAGTCTTGTATAATTTTTATATATTTTTTAAACTCTTATATATTTTACTTGGAGTTTTATATAATTCAAAAATATTATTCCGCAAGCCTTTATACACTCTTTTATTCTTCTATATTATTCTATTTATTTCACTGAGCTTCCTAGAGATTTTTTAAGTCCTTCAATATTTTCTTGTATCTTTTAGTAATGTTCGACAAAAAACAAGCACAACTTGTTCATTTTTTGAAAAATAGTTATCGATCTACATTCTCCAACAAACATTTTCCGTTGGTTTTTATGCATTGTCAATACAACTACGACTTATCTTTCCAATATGATATACATCATGTGAAGTAAAATAAATATTTGTGAAGAACCTGTATGGACTATCACCGTTCAGTCTTGAATATTTTGCATCATGTGTGGAATTAACTCTTGGTTCCAATAATTTACAAGGTATAACTTTGTGCAAATTATAATTCACCATAGATTATTTCCTTTTTCTTACTTATTATCTCTTGCAACTTGAAATTACGAACTTAGATGCTAATTGGTTTTGTCAAATTGCTATTAATTATGTATCCCAAAATGTATAGGTCTAGAATAACTTTTCTTTTCCCACAAAACAAAAATTGGATTATATTTTTATGCATAATGTTTAATATTTTATAATGTCATTGAGAACTCAACTTGTTACAAAGATTTCAAATATAGAAGAGGATAATTTCAGTTAGGTCTCTTGTAAGTAAACTTACATTAAATTTCAAAGGACTTTTTTGTCCAACTACTGATTTATTCCTAAGAAACATAAACCATTACAGTACAACTGAAACCACAAACAACAACAGAGCAACAAAACAAGGAGAACAACAGAGAAAAAACAGAATTAGCAACAATGTAAGAGAGATAAACTAAATAATTTTAACTAGTAGATGAGATAAAAGAAGTGGTGGTGACGACACCTATCCTATTAGAGCCAGCAATGATACGCTTGATTCTTAATTTCAAAGGACTTTAATGAACTTAAAAATCAAGCATATTTACTAAATCCAATTTTAATAAGGAAGGGTGTTTTATTAAAAAAGATGAGTATTTTTGTAAGTTTCAATTTTTAATTTTATAAAAATTTCTTGGGATTTAAATGCAAATTTTCTAATTTAAATTTAATTTAAAAATTAAATACAAATAATTTTAACTAAATATTGGCCCGTGTCTCTTTTTTAACTTTCCCACCCTAATATCTCTTCAAATACAAACAAAAATGACATTGTACATTAGGTAATAGAAGCATAAGCGCATCACCAAATCTATCATTCATAGCTGCAACTTTTAAACATTTATATCAACACTTCCAGTATTGTACTTTTTATTTTGTTATATTGACACACACACATAATTATACAAAAGTTACTCCCTTTATTCAAAAATGTAAGGCATTTTTTGAGGAGTTGGATGTTCAAAAATGTAAGGCATTTTTATTCTTTTGATGTGTAATCATTGCCTTTGTCCAAAAATGCCTCTATTGATAATGACTTTATATTTATTGTAGGGTATTTAAGAGGGATAAATATAAAAAGATAGGGGTAGTTTAAAAATAAGTAACTACTTTATTGGGGGTGAAATTTGGTTAAAAATGCCTTATATTTTGAATAGAAGGAGTAGTTTATAACTTTTGAAATTTTGTTGATAATTCTATAGTCACAATTGTAGTCTCACCTTTTTTTAAAAGGTTCTACTTACTATAACCCCCATAAATTTCAATGACATAATATATATTAGATTAAATATTTTAAAGTATATCATATTTTATAATTAAACTTTTCGTTAAATTTTTAGATTAAATATTTTAAAATATATCACATTTTTACATAGCCAGACTATTTACTATTTTTGGTTGTTTTCAGTTAGTTAATTATAAGAATTTTAAGAGATAAAGGGCTCATTTGTTTTAGCTTATTTTATGAAAAAAATTACTTTTTGTAAAAAAAATTATTTTGTGATTTTAAAAATGTTTGTTTAATTTTTTGAAAATAATTAGAATAGGAAAGTAATTTTTTATTATTTTAAATAACTACTTTGAGAAAGAATGTTTTAATAATGTGGGATGCAAGAAGATATACTAAGATTTTAAAATAATTAAATAATAATTTATTTTATAAAACAGAAATAAAGAAAGATATTATAAAATTTAAAAATAACTAGTAAATAATTACTTTTTTATTATTGCAACCAAACATAAAATAATGTTTGCTTTTTATAAAATTTCTAAAAAATAATTCTTTTATAAAATCCCTAAATTATCTAATAATGGCTTATTTTTTAATCTTTAACAAATGGACCAAAAAAATGCAAAGAATACATAATGTTAATACATAAACAGAAAATAAAATCTGGCTGGATCCAACGTCTAATTCAACGTTGGTTTATCCAATTTTGTTACTTATCAATCACAGTCAATTTTGCTTTTATTGGCTATAAACATCATTAGAATTTTAATTAAGAGGAATAAGAGGGTATGAAATCAAATTCTGATTGGGCTTTATAGAATGATTAGGTGGCAGCATGGCATATATTGGGCTTTATTTGAACAAAATTAATCTTCCGCATTAAATACCAAAAGAACAAGTTCAAGCTATATCATATATGGATTCGCCAAACACATGATGGCTGATCTTAAAATGTGTAATTAATTTATCCAACTGACAGCTTTTCACTCGCAAGAATTTTATAGATGGCATTGAAAAAAAAAACAATGTCTAAAGATAACCAAATTATTAAGCTATCTCTATTATTTTTAATTGGGGCTGAGATGAGAATCAAAAGTGGTCGAGAGATTTTTTTTTAACATAGATATATACATAAACTGTGATATATATTTCATTTTTCATTTTAAATTTTTATTGTAGATATTTTTAAAAGTAATTTGCTAATTTTATGATTTAAGTGAAATGTTATTAGATAATTGATGGTGTATAATAATGTAAAACTTATAAATACCTTATTGGTGGGCGATCTATAAGTACATCTGTAAGTAATTTTTGAACCTAGAAGCTTGTCCTACCCTTGGTGAGCCCTCAGACCTAATTTACCTAAACTTTCTAAAGGAAAATATAAAACTTATAAATGAAAATATATTAACAACATATTAGCCTGTGAAAATGGCAATAAAATTCCATCTAAGTATAAAAATGACAATTAAGTCCCTTGAAATGCCATAATTTCTTTGAAGTCTCTAGGTACCTTTCTAACATTAATTATTTCTGTTTAGCTATGAAAAATTTATAAACTTGACATGACTTAAAATTTGGTGGTGATGAAATCTATTTATCTATTTAAAAATAAAAGAAAAAATAATTTACTCTTTTTATGGATAAGTTTGTTGCATATATCCAAAAGAATTTTCATGTTATTGATTTTTTTTTTTTGAAGATTTGCCTTTCCAACTTTGTGCCCTCCTCTGCGGCTATTCAAGTTATTGAAGTTAGCTCATTTTGTTCATTGATGAAAACAACTTGGCAAAAGTTTGCTTCCTTGTTCAAATTAATTTCCCCTGAGAAAATTAACGTTTCGTAATTTTGTAACTGTTATTTTTCAATGACATATTGATGATAATAATTTTTTTAATTTGGTTAAGATAAAATAATCCAATGTTCTTTGTAATCCTCTTTTCGCCAGCTAGACAATTTGTCACTTTAGATGATTTATAGAATTTCTTTTTTAGCTACGTTAAAATCATGTAAAATTTTCAAACAATTACAGTGCAATATGTTGCTTATAATTTGCGTGTGTTGTTAGACTTGGTAAAAAAGATTCATCATACATGGACACTCGTAGGATTAATATGCCATCTTTTTTGTGTCTTTATCACATGTGTGGGAAATATTTTCAATAGATATACCTGTGACCAATTCGAATTCAATATCTGTAAGCGTTAATTTTTTTTTTTTGGTAGGTGATATACCAGAAGGTATTGGAAAGTTGGATATGCTTCAAGAGCTATATCTTGATTATAATAATTTACAAGGTAATTTTTTCATCAAATTATGATATTCTGGCTACTATAGTTTTTCCCTCTCTTTAGTTGTTTTTTCAGTATTACTATGAACAACCATGCTTTTTCTTTTCCTACTTTATATTTTTTTAATAAATTTGTGTATGGCTGAAAATTTCTTTTCTAATAATTCCTTAAACATAAAATAAGTCTTTTGTTCCGGTTGGCCAAAAAAAATTTCTTTTCGAATAAATTTAGAAATACTGGTTAGGATATCATATGGAGCATTTTGTTTGTTCGGAAAAAAACAAAGCTCCACTTGAAGCGAGGAAAAAGGATTTGCAATAAAAGTTTGTTATCTAATATAAAAAAAACAATGCATTTCTGGTGAAAATACAGTTAATTAATATACTAGAGTTGATTTACATTTACTGAGTGATAATATTAATATAAAAATCAGTTTAAAAATATGACATCTCCACCTCACTTGTTCCTTTAAATTGTAAACTAGAAATAAAAAAATGGAAATTATAAACGGGAGAATATTATAATTGATGATAATAATTAATTATATTCATGCAAATTAGTTAACGTCAATGATTTTTATCCTAACTTCTGTTGCTCAATTTCTTCTAACTTCAATTTTGCAATTTCTAATCCAAACACACCTTAGAATCAATCTTATCAAACATGTAATTGGCCATAACAATCCCCACATAAATCGCTTCCAAGCTCCGTGGTCATTAGTTATCCAGATTGCCTCCAAGAGAATAAATGTCTTCCTCAAGTGTTTCTAGGTCTTTCTTATACAATTTTGCATCCCAATTGAAATTTGGGGCTTCTATGCATTTTGGGCCTTTGTTTGCAAATTGTTGTTCCCTCAGCATTCTTATCAGCACGTGGCAAAAGAGTGAAGAAAATACCCTATGCCGCTTTTTTTCGCGCATGGTCATGGTTATGTTGAGCCTATTTGTTCGCGGCAGAATCATGATGAGCCAAAATCATATTTTCATCTGCGAGCGTCCTTCTACTTCATCTGCAAGCACTTGACTTCCCTCATGGTTCATCCGTTGCCAGAAGTAACAAATGGGAGAATCAAATATGAAACTCTGTTCATTCGCAACTTGTGGTGACTTTCAAAGGTTATCCGTGTATGAATGAGTGATCTTGAGCCTAATCTTGGATCTTGATCTGAATTCTCTTTTTTTAATTCGTTTTTAGTATTAGAATAAAAAAGAAGTCCCACGTCTAAAGATTAGAAGATGGATCATAGATATACAAGTTTAGGAAGTATTTAATCAAATGGCTTAAACTATTATGATAGAGTATACTATCTTTAAGTATACTTAATATAAGAAATCTAACATTTACGTCCTTTTTTCTTCCTTTCATGCATTTTTGGCACACCACAACTAAGTGAGGCTATATCAACTATTTTATCCTGATTTATTGCAATTACTTAGCATATTTAAATCTAAAAGTCCCCAAAAATCACGTAGATGTGGGTTCATCAATCACTTTTTTGGTGTTTCATCGGTTCTATCAATAGGGCTGTGTGTAACACTAGGCCACCATGGCCGTCGTCTTAAGTGTGAAAAAATGTTCACTTATATCCTACGTAATGTGTCATTATTTTTACTGTTAAGCATTAATGTTAACTATAATTTTCATTAAGGATTTATTACTTACTTATATCTTATATAACAAGCAATTAATTTTGTAAGCATTAGTGTTGATTATAACTCTTCATTAAAAATTTATGGCCCCATATTTTAGTGCGCATATGCCCTGCCGCAACCACTTTGTCATTTCATCTCTTCTTCTCTCTCAATCAAATCGTTTCATTCACTGCCATCATTTTCTTATTAATAAAATATAGCTCTTGTTTAGCCATTTCCATGGGCACTCTGGCCTGATTAATAACTTGATTTGCCATTTGCCATTGTGAAGTTGACGAATCCTTTTATTTGTTTATGGGGCTTTTGCATTTTGTTAAAAGAATAAAGAAAACCAATCATAGAGGGCCATATATATATATATATATATAAATCAGGTGTGTTTGTTCCTCTTTTACCCTTTATTTTACCTTTTACTTAAAATTGTGATTGTTAGGAAAGTGTGACTAAGACACTAGTACATTCAAAAGGGACAAGGCGAGTCAGCGAGATAGCATTCTGTTGTGGCTTTAATTTTTTATAGGATTTAAAGTGGTAAAATAATAATGCATTAGGCTTCTAAAATAATTTTGTGTTAGGCCACAAAACCCCTTCACACGTCCCTGTATCTAAGTGTTCAGTTTTGAAAATTGTAGAGGACTAAACCAAGAGCTAGTTCCTAATACAACCGGTGGAATTGGATGACCCAATCTATTTAGAAAACCATGACTTTTCTTGTGTTTATGTCAAATTTAGGAATTAAATCACGTAATTAAATAATATATTTTGGTGTTTTTATATTACGAAATTTTGAACCTGGGCAAGTATTCCACCCTACCTCCATAAAATAATACTTAACCCTTTGTATAGATTTTAGGGTCATCAACAATATCTAAGTAATTAAAACAAATTAATCACCAAATTAATTCAATCTTCCAACACCCCCTCCAGTTTGACTCGGTGCTCAACTTGCTAATAGAAACTATGAGGGAGGTGAAGTGAATTAAGCCGATGACTAATGACAAGTAATGATATTCATCCTCCGAATTACTATATACTTATTTTGAATTAACATGGTGTCTACTTCCAAACTCGAACGAGTAACTTGCGTCTACTATTTTAAGACAAGTGATCGATGAGAATAAACTTGATATTCAACTTCATAAAAAACAGGTTCCAGCTTTCATGACAGGTGGATTTTAGCTAGTGACCCTCAAGTGCAACACCAATTCTCCTTTCTTGGTGCTCTTGACATATAATTGTACAGAAGCTTCCCGAGATGAATGACTGGAACAATGCTGATAACTCTACTAGCTAGTTATTATGTTGTGAATTCATGATTTTAGTTTGCCTTAAGAGCATTATTATTTTTCCATTTTCTTTTAAATCAAAATCCAAGAGTATATATTTGTGTTGTTATGGGTCATGTGGCGCCTGCCTCAATTGCATCTGCATGATATATTTTCCATCAATATTTTTTTTTTCGGGCTTAAAAACAAAGGTGAGCGTACAATATTGTTATTGATTATGTGAAGATTTGCATTTCTAACTTCATGTCTTCCTATATGGCACGTGTAATCGAATTATCATAGTTAGCACGTTTTATGCATTGCATGAAAACAACTTTCCAAAAGTATACTTCCTTATTCAAATTAGCCTCCCCTAAGAAAATTAATGTTTGATAATTCTTTGACCACTGTCATTTTTCAATGATATATTGGTGATAATATATGTTTTAATTTGAGTAAGATAAAATAATCGAATGTTCTTTGCAATTCTCTTTTAGCTAGATAGAAAATGTTTTCACGTCACATGTTTCATAGAATTCCCTATATAGTTACGTTAAAACTACGTAAAACTATTCAAACAGTTACTATCTCGATATTTTACTCAATTTGTTTTGTCATTAGGGTTTTTATTATTAATTGTGTTCTCATTTGGGACTTGATTATAACTCTCCAAATATCTTACTTTATTAATACCACTCCCATTTGATATTTTTTAAAAAGTTACAGTCTCAATAAGTTAGTTACATCTTTAAGCTAATGTTATCTTTTCATATTTGTTCTTATTTAGTTAGGGAATCTCACTTAAAGGTTTCAGTTGAGTAGTTTATTAAGGGTATTTTTGAAAATACTCATTAATTATACATTGAAAAATTAAAAATACCTTAGCAAAAATGCCTTATATTTTTTAATGGTGCAAATACCTGACAGTTTTAGTAATTGTCATATACTTGTACAAGCCGACGTTTTAGAGACTAAACATGTACTTGGCACTTGTATGCTGCTAATACTTAGGTTCCAAGTATGCATATTATGTGGGTGAAAATTTTCTTTTACATATAAATGATTATCTAAAACTAACCCATTAATTATTGTTGTTTTAAGTCATGATGACGTAAGGACGTGTCTTATGTTAACCACTTTTCACGCGTATTCTTTATTTCTTTTAATACTTAACTTTTGTCTTCACCTTTTCATTGGCTACTCTTATTTTTTTCGCTTTCATACTTAATTATTTTCTTCACCTTTCAAGGAAAATACCTTCAACTATTTTTGGCTTATCTTCACTCGAGCATATGTCATTATCATGCAACTCTTTCATAGGTATATCTTTGATTTTATCGGATAATTTCATACTTTATCCTAATCATTGCAAACAATTTTATAGGTGTTAGTGTGCCTTCAGATAAGTTATTTACAATATATTATTCAACATTGATTTTGTTGGAAAATAATTGTGTCCCTTGTAACTTGTCCAACGTGGCACTCACAGTAATTAAAAATATTAATTAAAAATATTAAAAATTGTTTAGTATATAGATTGATAAAATAAGTATATGGATCAACTTGCATTGAATTCAAGTATAGAGATTGAGTTACAAACTCTATGAATCTATAGGACTAAATAATTAATTTCCCCTTATTTATATATGTAACATTTTATTCCAATTGTTTTGTGAGTTTTGATATATATTGTTAGAAATTTTCATATTATTTATGATTCATTTTTAGAGCAAAATATATTCATTAACCTTTAATTTCATTAATATTCCTGAAACCACCCCATAATTTTCAAAATATAGACTTTAATTAAATTTTTAATTCTGATGAAAATAAAGATTCTAAAATACTTTTTTTATTAACTAAAAGGACAATATAGCAATTTCAAACTTACTAATAAAATGCTTTCACTATGACTGATTCGATTAACTGATGTTGTTCAGAACATGATTCAAGAAGGTTTTTACATGTTTGGCAAAACTTTTTTTGGAAAAAAAAAATATAAGAATACTAGTGCAGTGCAGCTGTGTCAATAAAATTTCTCTCAGTTTTTAGTATTGCTTTAGGCATAATTATGATTTCAGTGACTTGAAAGGTATATATGAGCATATATTTTTTTATTTTGACATTAAAAGATTATATTTTGATTCAATCAAATCCAAAAACTTAAATTGAGGGGAAATTTGCAATGGTAATATAAAATATGGATAAAGTGCATAGGGAATTGGAATAATATAGTAAAACAGAAAGTGACCATGTGCAACAACCTTAATCAGTCCATTCCCACCCAAAACATCTCTCACTTTCCATGTAGGATGCCAATTGCGTGAATTGCATGCATCTGCATGCTTTACAATGCATCACCGCTCTTAACGATGTGCTTTTTATATTGTCATGTACATCACAAGAGATATTGCTGAAATAATTTGCAATCTTACAAGTATGGAAATAATGGTCTTAGATGTTAATATCTTCTAGCTTTTTAAATAACTTTATCAGCACCTTTATTAGAAACATTTGTTTTTCCTTTTTGTCCTTTTACACTTGGGTCTTTTAATCATATCCAGAGGCTTAATTCTAAGGAAATGGGTGATCTTCTAAATTTAAAAAATATGAACCCATTCACATCGGTGCCCATGGTTTTCTTTGCCTTGCTTTCTGCCTTTTGGAGTTTTGGTGCTCTTGAGAGCAATATGGAAACCATTATTTACATTTCATCTTTACTATCTTTGATCATTATACTTTAGATCCCTCAGCTACGTATTTAGACAATGTGAAATCATTATCTTTGATCATTATACTTAAGCGTAGTTGCAAGACAATGTGAAATCATTAGTGGAATATGTGTGTGTGTGAAATGTAAGGTGAGGCAAATTAATTAAGATGGATAGTTCATTAGCCATATATATATATATATATATATAAGGTCAATGAGGATTATTTCTTTAAATTATTATTTTTTGGTTCTAGAGCCATTCCTTTAATTAAAAACTGTACATTGGAAACTTATGATTATTTTTAACAAGTTAACAATGTAAGAATGTTTTCTTAAACTATGTGAAAATGTTGGAAATACCTTATGCCCAACTAATGTGTGATTTCTCAATACAAATAAGACAATTGGTGTTTTACTAAAGTGTCCCTTATGTCAACAAGTATCAATATGTTCTTTCAGGTCATTTACCAAGAAGTATTGGAAACTTGACTGAGCTTCAATTGTTACGTCTTATTGCCAATAACTTGGAAGGTATGTATCTAACAAATCATAGTGTTATTATGTTTATTTTATCTGTTGCTAAATTACAAGAAATATTTGTAATAAAATTGGTGATCTAACAAACCTAAACATTGTAGATATGTTATGATAGTTTGATAAATTATGTATAATTATATTGAGACTTTGAACCAATAGATTATTGGTTGTTTGTTTTTGTTCTTATGAGCAACTCCCTTTTCGTTCTCCACATCGTCACATCATCACATAATAGAGTTATTGAATCAATAGTTGTGAGTTTTGATAATATTGTTAGAACCTTCTCATATTATTTATGATTCATTTTTATAGTGAAATATATTCATTTATATTTAATTTTATTAATATTTCATAAACTATCACATAATTTCCAGAAGTATACACTTAAATTGAATTTTTTACTCTTTTAAAAATACTTTATCAAAGATTCTAAAATTCTTTTTTATTTATTAAAAGGTGCATCTTAGCTATTTAAAATTACTTTTTTACCCTTGTTAAAGACCATTAATTCCATTCCTAACCTATATCAATTTCCCTCCCTTGCCTTTGCACGAACAATGGAAGTACACAAAAATGCACCCTTTTTGTATTTATCTAATCATTTATGAACCATAATATATAATAAGGACAATTTCAAATTTTTTATATTTATGATAATGTATTTTTCTCTCCTATAACTTTTTTTATAATTAACAATAGAGCTGAAATTAGTTATTATTATTTTCCTAGACCCCGGTTTCTTTTAAATACAAATTCAATAGTTATTATATCACAATCACAATAACTTTAAGAAAATGCATTCATAAAATTATTTTCATAAGTATTTTTCTTTTATCATAATTTTATACTTGAGAATTCATAATAATGTGGTCTTTTTATTATCATATTGCAGGAAATATTCCTCAAACAATTGGTGAGCTCACAAACTTGAAAATTATACAATTCTTATCTAACAAGTTGTCTGGCCAAATACCAAGGAATTTTGGAAACTTGACAAAACTTCAAGAGCTAGACCTTGGTGAATATAACATTGAAGGTACACTTTCAACTAATCATGCCGTGTAACTTTTTATCATATTTGTGTTATTCTTGGGAAAGTTCATTCAGGAGCTATATCATATAAATATATGTCCCCGCCACTAGAAGTAAGGGTCTCCAAGTGGTTCATTAACAAGTTTATAGAAAAAGGATGAACCCGAAACGTTTCTTGTAAATTTTAAAAGTTAGATTATTTTAAAATATTACCATACATAAACACTTGAAACATTAAACAATTTTTCTTATATCTTAATCAAATACGTGGAAAATATTATCAATATAATTGCTATGGGACAAAGTTAAATTTTATATCTTTAAGCGTTAATTTTTTTCCAGGCAATATACTAGGTAATTTTCATCAAATTATGATGTTCTAGCTACTATTTTTTTTTTCCCCTCGTTAGTTCTTTTCTCAGTATATATTTGTGTGCATTTCTCTTCCTGTTTTTCCTTTTGTTTATAAATTTGTGTGTGTTCTAGAAATTCTATTGTTATATGTGAATGATTCTTTTTAACTAATTTTGCAAACATTGGTTTGAACTAGAGATTAGGCTTGCCGAAATACTTTATTTCTAATGTCAGATAAAATGAACAATATATAATATGCAACACTGCAAAAGTTCTACAGCAGCATGGACGATATATTTCACATTTTCTATTGGATTATATCACCACTCTATGCTACCTACCATGATATAACTATAATATTTGGCTTTGCTTCCAATTTTAACTTCCATTAATTGGTCAATATAAATTCCTCTATAATTAATGGTTTTGATACATCACTATTGTTAGGATTCTAGATGTGAGACAACGTTTCATATAAAAAACGTAAATTGTTAATAAAAGTATCATTGATTTTCTTAGTTCAATTGCACTCTAAAATAGCTTTTTTCTTTTTATACATTGTTGCAATAGGTATATCTTAAAAGATATATGTACTTATTAAGAATTTTTATTTTAGAAAGAAATTAAAAAATGTCTTTAAATCTTCTATAGTTAGTCTTTTGGATGTGATATTTTCCTGAAAAATTGTTCAACAACATTGAGTATAGTGATAAAGTTCAATATAAGTGAAATTTAAATGACATATTATATTTTTTAACAAAATTTATCCAAAAGTATAAAAAGCTAATATGATGTATTTGGCTTGTGAATTGTGTTATGATTCAAAATATTTAATTTATATTGAACCGCATTTTTTGTTATTTTACAATATAATATTTAATTTTTTCTGTTGAATTTATGAAAGGGGTTTTTAGTTTTTGCAAATTAAATTGAGGCACATGTAAAATGATTTTGGATGTGCTAGTTAACTACTTCACTTATAACACTATCTTCTCATGGGATACATTCCAAAAGTCAGTGGTCTAGGTTTTTTTTTTTTTAATATTGTCGGTCATCTAATAAAGTTATATTGCATCCTTTTAACACGTTTCATGAAATTTAAAAGTTACAAAATCTGTTCCTTTGTATCAAGAAAGATTTGGTCTGATATCGTTTGTTCAGTATATTATGCTTTATTCATTTTCACTTTTAATATGACTTTATTTTTGGGTTTTAATTAATTGTTTGGCAACATAAAGATGCATTGGAAACTTGATATACTGTTAGTAAATGATAGTTTGGTACTATCGATCATTTTATTGCTTTTTGTTCTCCTTTTGTCTGTTGGAAAACACAATCACTTATGCGACCATGTTAATATATACATCAATATTAACATATAAAATCTCCATATCAGCCATTTCCCTTAAACTGTAAACAGAATTAATAAATTGGAAAATAGAAAACTGTAGTCCGTATAAACCAGAATCAACATAGCTGTTTTTTAGGCTAAAAAACAGAGGTAAGCATGTTCCACAATGCACAATGCCAAGATTTGATTATATTTGAGGTGTAGGGCAAATTGTAGGAAAGATAAAGAGACTTCAATTTTTTTTTTCTTAGATGCTAAATAATTAACCACATCGTATATTATGTAAGAATTCGTTTGTAACATTACTAAGTATTGGAAACTTGACTAATTCAAATACAAATACAAATAACTTAGCACAACCAAAATAAAATTAGAGAATCTGAATACTTCTTTATGCTTCAAAACTCATTTGCAATATGTATTAGAAACTTGACTAGGCTTGAAGGTTTGGATCTTTCTTCTAAGTTGCAAAGTACTCTTTCAGTAAATGATATAAGTGCTCTTCATTTTTTTATTTAATAAAATATGTTAGCATAAGAAAATATATAACAATGTTCGTACTTTTTTTCTTACAAAAAAAAAGTTTTTGTAATTTTTGTTTTGTTGTTATATTGCAAGATGCATTCCTAAACTAACTTGCAGATATTTTTGTCATTCATAGGCAATATTTGTCTACATGCATGTTGAAGTGCAATATTGTAAACATATCCAAAGAAATTTTAAAAAGTAAAATAAATGTGAGGAACCTGTGTTAACCATCACTGTGCGTATAATATAAAATATTTGTTTGAGTTATGCGAAGCTCAACAAAATATTTATTAAAAATTAAAGAATAAAAGAGAATATATAAAAGCCAAAAAAGCCATACTTATTTTTTTATTTAGATTTAATTATTTTAAGAATGAATTGTAATATTTTATTTTTGAATTGGCCATCTATCTGGTTATATTATTTTTTTCTTCATGCGTCTATCTAGCGAATTGTTGAAAAAAACATGACAAGACTATGTTCCAATTTTTATATTAAAATTTGCTGAACTTTAATCCATCTTGTGATATTATATATGCTGTGGGATATATTTCTTGCCAAGAAAAAATGGTCCATTAAATATGTATGATCTTGAAAAATTCCTTCCATCTTAATTGAATTATGAATGCCTATTTTAGTTGTCAATACTAACCGAAGTTTAAAAATACAAGTGACATATTTTAACATATAATTTCTTGTGCTCATACAGTTATTTCACCCTAATAGCCACTAATTGCCGTCATTGCACAAACCAGAAATTGTTATACTATAATTTTATTTGAAATGATAGTACATACCAAAAGGAAATAAATTTGCAACTCTATTAGGGTCCAAGAGCGTTATAATCTTTTCTCCTTTTATTTGCAATTTTGAAAGCTATATTTTGATTCATCACAATAAATTTTGGTCTTTTATTGGTTGTCATGCTCATTTTATGATTTACTCCAATTATAGCTTGGTTGTTCCCCTTATTTTTTATTTGATTCAAAGTCATCTGTCACTTTAGTGAAATTAACTCCACTAGTTCATTGCTTCTCTAAATTTACTTCAAAATTTTAAATTGAGGAGGAACAAGTTTTTCAACAATGATAATAAATTTAATTGGTCTTTTCTATATCACATTGTAGGAGATATTCCCAAAGAGATTGGTAATCTTAAAAGCTTGACAAATCTATATTTAGACCTCAATCAGTTTTCTGGTCAAATACCGTCAACAATCTTCAATATATCTGAGTTGCAAGAGATTGATTTAAGTGGGAATAATTTGTCAAGAGGCATTCCTTCTAATATATGCAATGGACTTCCAAATTTACAATATTTGGCTCTTCAAGACAACAACTTATTTGGAGCTATACCATCTAGTTGGGCACAATTCAAGCATCTCAAGGTGTTAAAATTAGAAGAAAACTTTTTGACAGGTACGTATTACCAGAATATGTCAAATATCTAAATTTAATCATAGCAAATATATTTTTATTGCACTTTTGTGTATTGGTACTGATGAAAACTGCAGAATAAATTGGAAGTCCACATCTCTTATTTTCATTAAAACAAAAATCCTCCATGAAAAATGAATTATATTTATAAAGAAATACAAAAATCTCAGTAGAATGTAGTAAACCTGCTTTGGAAAATATGTAAAGTAATATAAGAATTTGATATTTTGTATTAGTAAATATAAAGTTAATTTGTATAATTTTTAAATTTTAATTGTCTAAATCCAGTTGCTCCAAGTCCATCTTCCACACTGATATATGACAATGATATACTAAAACACTATCTAATTGTTGCCTCATAAATAAACCTCAATATAATCTATTAGGAAAAATTGTTTTCAATATATTTAATTTGTTGTTCAATTTTTTATTTTCAATTTACTTTATAGTAAAATGGAAAATCAAACTCTTTGATAGATATTATTTTCCTTACTTTCTCCACATTGTCATGTAGCGTTGACTAGTTGCATAGGAGGAGCCTTACACAAGCCAGATTGTGGAGCCATATGAGCGCCACATGTTACCCATTTTTCTTCTACAGAACAAATATGATTTTGAAATACCCCTTTCTTATCTAATTTAAACTGCTGAATTTATGGACAGTAACTACTATATTATCAAAGATAATATATTTTGATTTTGACAATTTTTGGATATATATATATATATATATATGCTTATAGTCAATCATCTCTACAAAGTTCCGTATGCCATCTCGTTTTATCCATTTCATGAAATTTCAGGATCATAAAATCTGCCACCTTGCGGTGTTTATGTACCCTCACTTTTACTATACGTCATTAACGTTTGAATTTACAAAATAAAGTTCAAACAACATATAATTGTATCCACAAACTTGCTATTCATTTTTCTTTCAATATATAATCTTTAACTTTATAAACCTCTTAGCATTATGATTTTCTGTTGTTGCAGGAGATCTACCAGGAGATATTGGAAACTTAACTATGCTTCAAATGTTAACTCTTGGTTACAATAACTTAAAAGGTATCCTTACAATAAATTATAATCGCTAATTAATCCTGCTTCCCTGATTGTCGTGGTTAAATCTTAACGAGCTTTCTTACTGCAAATTAAGAGGCAATAGAAACTTCACTATGCTTCGATTTTAATATTTAGATTACAATTACTTTTCAAGGATATATTATTAACTCTATCAAATCTCTAACTTTTGTTTCTTAGAAATGATATTTTAATTATAATTTATGCTTGGAATTGGTCAAAACTATAGGACAAAAAGAAATTCTCCATCTTTTATTTTCAATTAAACAAAGTTCGTTTTTCACTTATACATGATGTGCCCATCCTTCACTGTCAATATATATATATATGGACCGAAAGCTAAAATCTAGGTGGATGACATCTGTGACCCCTCAACATTAAACCAAACATCTTTGCTATATTAAGACAGTTACACAAACTTTTCTATTTCATTATTTTTTAGTATTAACTTCAAATAACTTTACTGAAACTCCATTTCCTATTTTGCTCCTAGATTTAGTACATATGTGGGAATAAGAAATCTTTGTAAGCTTGACATGTTATATTTGTCACAGGACAAATTTAGTATAGATCTATACTTCCAAAATGTTTTTTAACATATCGACTTTGAAAAGTTAAGTTATGATCTCATTAAAAAAATTTTATCAGGTAATATTCCATCAAATTATGGGAACCTCACTAATTTGTATAAACTCTCTATAGAAGAAAACAGTTTGATTGGAAGGATTCCAACAACAATTAGTAGCATACAAGATCTTCAGTATTTGAGTCTTGAAGGTAATAAGCTACATGGTGCAATCATTGAAGAGCTATGTGGAATGCCAAGACTTGCTTATTTATATCTAAGTGAGAACAAGTTTTCTGGATCAATGCCGCATTGCATGGGAAATGTTACCTCCTTACGAGAACTTCACCTGGACAATAACAAGTTAACTTCAGAAATTCCCTTTTCTTTTTGGAATTTGAAGGACATATTGATCATAAACTTGTCTTCAAATAGTTTAGTTGGAAATCTATCACTCAATATCGGCAACTTAAAAGCTCTTGTGTCATTGGATTTGTCAAGAAATCATATTTTAGGAATCATTCCCTCAACCATGGATAGCTTGCAAACTTTGCAAAATCTCTCCTTAGCATATAACAATTTGCGAGGAAATATTCCCAAATTACTCGGAAATATTCCAAGTTTAATGAATTTGGACCTTTCCCATAATAATTTGTCTGGTGAGATTCCCAAAAATTTGGAGTCACTTGTTTATCTAAAGTTTATCAATCTCTCATTTAACAAACTACAAGGAGAGATTCCCAGTGGAGGTGTTTTCAAAAATTTGACTGCTGAATCTTTTATGATTGATGAAGCTCTTTGTGGTAAACAAGAACTAAAAGTACCTCTTTGTAGAAAAGGAAAAAGGTCATTCAATAAATCACTTTTATTGAAGTGCACATTACCCATATTCGTGTCAACAATTTTGACTGTTTTAGGCATCCTCTTTTAAACAAAGACAACCAAATTCATGGGATTCTTTCGAAAGGGACTCACCAATTTTAGGAGGACAAAGAAGGATTTCTTATTTTGAAATTCTAGAAGCAACTAATGGATTTGATGAGAGTAACTTTATTGGAAGTGGGAGTTAGGGTGATGTGTTCAAAGGAAAGCTTTTGAATGGGATGATGGTTGCAATTAAAGTATTTAATTTTGATTCTGAGAAAATGTCAAGGAGCTTTGAAGTGGAATGCAACACAATGCGCAATGTGCGCCATTATAATTTGGTGAAGATCATAAGTAGTTGTTCCAATGTTGATTTCAAGTGCCTGATAATGGAGTTCATGCCTAAAGGGAGTCTTGAAAAATGATTGTATTCTCATAACTATTGTTGGAATTTTCTACAAGGGCTGAATATAATGATAAATATAGCATTTACTTTAGAATATCTCCATCATGGCTTGTCAGCACTAGTAGTTCATTGTGATATGAAGCCAAGTAACAATTTGTTGGATGGTGATATGGTTGCTCATGTGAGTGACTTTGGGATTTCCAAACTTTTAGATGAAGGGCAATCTAAAATACATACAGAGACGATACCTATAATTGGATATATTGCACCTGGTAATTATTCTAAACTTAGATTCACCATGTCCTTTTTGCATTTGTATTTTGAGAATGCTTTCCTTTCTTAGTTTCTTTTAGATTACATTGGAGTCACCTTATTAAATGCTGGTAATATGGGTCTGCCAACCAACTTAAAAAAAAAAATAGACAGAAAATTCCACTCCTTAAATTGTTAATGAATTATTTACTAAAATAGAATTTAATCCCATATAATACATGTTGGGTATGATTGTTGTTAAAAAGGTTTGTGATTTTTTATTGTTGAAATTTTAATATAATTATGAAATAATTTGCAAATATGGCATGATTAAATTGAAAAAAAAATTAAAGCAAGAAGTATTGGAAAATTAATCCAAAAAATATGAAGGTGAATAAACAAAGGCCAAAAATAAAGGGAGAGAGAAAGCAATTGAAAATGAATGTGACATACCTAAATCACTGTTAAAATTACTGTGGTAACTATGTGTCCAATGCATGGACATCCTTTTTTTTAATACAAAATAGTGTCCATTTATTTCAGACTTTGGTTTTTTTTTTTTTTGGGGGGGGGCCAAATATTTCAGACCTCCTTATGTGCGCGTAGTGTCTGCGGGCACTAATGATTTAAAAAAAAAAAGAAAATAAAATAAAGAAAGAAAAACCACCGGAATGGAAAGCACCGTCAGTTTTAGTTTTATATATGCCTCTATCTTGGCTCTTAGACAGATTCACATATAATTTAAATTTGTATTGTGTTTTTTATTGACTTAGAAATAGTTTTATTGTTATTTGGATAATTTGTTTTTGGGGGAAGATATGATTTTTTTAACGGCAAAAAAAAAGAAAAAAGGTAAATTTGTAATAGTTAAAATTGGAAAACATTATTAAAAATATATTTTATTGGTGGGTCGTGGGTTGACCCACCAACTCAGGAAGAAATACAACCCACCAAGGATGCAGGTTATGCTAGCCTAACTTGAAAAACCTGCAACTTGCTATGGGGTCAGCCTGCAAACCTCACGGTGGCTGATATTACTACTCTATGAAATGATACATATGAAATCTTTCATGCTCTATCACTTATTATCTAAATTAGAAATAACACAGAAGATTAATATAAAAGATATTCCTTACTTTCTATGAGCAATGCTACATTTGTTCCCCAAAGCATTAGATCTTCTTGATTTAGTCTCTCCATATACAAGAAGTTTAATTGTTGATTCAGATGACATTAAAGTCACCTATCAAATAAATTATTTGAAACCATTTGTTCCAAATTTTTCTATAGAGAAAAGTACTCTCACGTAGATTTGTGTGTGTGTGTGTGTGTGTGTGTGTGTATCCTAATTTCTTATTTGAGGCAGGTTCCCATATAAAATAGATAACCAAAGAGATTTCTTATTTTATGCATTTTGCGTTCATTGAGCTTGGCTTCCTTAATTATTTTTATGTGTATGTATTTGATATGAGAGAGAGAGAGGGGATGAAAATCAATACGACATGTATTTTACTCTAGCATGCACATATATATCTATATAAAAAAATCCTATTGCATTCGTGGAAGTTTTCTATAATTTTCTGTTGGATCTAAATACAAGTCTTTCAAGGATTGCCTTGTTGCAATGATCTATAGAAAAAAAAAATTGTAATAATTACCACAAGAAACAACAATATAAATTATTAGTTTTTCAACCATTTTTCTTAATTGACAAAAATGTGTGTTTTAAATTTATTCTAGTTCATAAATTTTGATTACGAGTGAGAAATTGATTTTTTGGTTGCTTGAATCCAATTCTATTACAGAATATGCATATGCTGGAGTTGTTTCCACGAAAGTGGATGTATATAGCTATGAAATTATTATTAATAGAAGTGTTCACAAGAAGAGGACCAACAGAAGACATATTTGATTCAGGATTGAACTTGAAGAGTTGGGTAAGTAACTCAATGTCACATGAAATAATTAATATCATGGATTCCAATTTATTGCAGGGAGATGAACAATATATTGGTGTCATATTGACTTCTACATCCTGTATTTTTAAATTGGCATTAAATTGTTGCACTGATTTTCCTGAAATGCGAAGCAACATGACAAATGTTGTAGTGTCATCAAACAAGATCAAGAACATGATTATTCAAAGGCAACATATTTGGCATCATTAAATAAGCATTACTTTATTTTCAATTCATGTTATATATTTCCCTTTAGAAACTTGCTTGGCACATTACTTGTATGATGAATGCATAACTTTTTTCACGAAACATGGAAGAAAAAGTTGTTGCCATAATTATCATATGACATGGTTGATGATCCTTTGTGAACAATGAAGGAGTGCTTACATTTCTTAAACTTTGCGATGTTGTAATAGAAAGCGTATGTTCATCAAAATATAGCATGCATTTGGATGAATTTTTTTTAGCTTCTCTTGCCAAGGTTGCTAAAAATTAAAGGGTAAATCTGTGGGCATAAAAATTTGTAGGAAAATTAAATAAAATTTGAGTACCATATTTTTATTTGTGTTTGTCATTTTTAACTTGACATGTGGATTATCTTGTCCATGAATTACCTCCCAACAACTAGGGACTCATCTAGAGATGATGATACTTTCTGTTATGAAATGAAATTTGCTGGTGTCCATCAAATAAAATGTCAATATGATGTTGGTTTGATATTTTATAATCCTAATTTTAAGTATTTTTACACAATGGCTTATGGGAATACAATATCGTAACTTGTGATATTATTTTCATATCAAGGAAACGAGGAAAACGAAAAGCCAAGGATTTAGTAACTTGAAATATGATCTGTGTGTTGCGCAAGAAATATGAGCTATAATCCCAAAGATTTCCATGAGAAATCTGAGTACTTTGTTACATATTAGACAAATGGTGAACTAATACAACATAATTTAATTTGAAAGAATGGAATGGGGTGTTTATTCTTCTTAATTTTTTTAATTCAAAGAGATACAGGAGGAAGATTCTACAAACAACATTTTCAATAGAAAAGGGCGTGGATAAATTTATTTGCTAAGGGCATACCTCATTTATGAATCTTTGTAACTCAAGGTTACAGTAAGTGACCGGTTATCTATGATATTAAATTAAAGCTTGTATATATAAATCTCTTATTTTTATGTTCATATAATTGAGTATCATTAGGTTAGATGTCCATCAATGGCAAGAAAAGAAAATCTTTTGGTTCATAAGAGTTCTACATATTAAAAGGATCATTCAATATGATAACAATGTGATGAATCCCTTTGGCATCTTTTATTGTCATAAAAGACTTAATGCTCTATTTGGATAAAGGGGGAAAATGATACAATTCTTTTTATAAGTCATTTTTAATAAAAAGATGGATAATTAATTTTTTTTCCAATTTTACCATTTCTCAATTTTTTATGAATAGAGTAAAATATTACATATGAAAGATAAAGTGTCTTTAAATGTGATAAATTGATTAAATGTAAATTAAATTGGGAATTTTTTCTGCAACATCAATAATTTAATTACCTTTCTTTATTTTAATAAAGGAATTAAAAGTGACTTATATATAAAATCAGAGGGAGTAAGTCATAAAATAAAAACCAAATGTATGCCTTTGGAAAGAAAAAAAAATAGAGGGACTGCGTGCATAACCATGCACATTAAATAAAATACTTTTTCACATCACTATATTTAAATTCAATTATGTAAATTTTAAATCTTAATTGATTTATAAGTAAATAGTTCAAATTTTATTAGTAAACAGCCTGATCAGGTATTCCTAATTTTTCTCCCTACAATTTCAGTGGGAAAATCACTGGGTAGCTAGCAAATATATGAAGAAAGGAAGATCACAAATTTACAGTCCTAAAAAAAAAAAGTGAGGAAAGCAGTACAGTTTGACTCTACGTTGTTTTACAATGGTTGATGAGAAAAGTTAATGTAAAATTAGGTGTTTCAATAATTGCCTGAACTTTGCTTTTAAATCATAGATGCCACCTTTATCTGCATCTATCTGGCTGGGTTGCCTTTTATAACAAGAGGTCATTTATAAGAATATATTATAAAAGAAGCTCTGAGACAAATACGTCTCACGTTAAAACGCTAACGGTTTAAGACTGTATTTTTCAAAACAAGACTGTAGTTGCCATCATTATTAAATATTATTTTACATTTGTAGGAGGAGAATGATTAGCATTCACATGTTTAACACTTGAAGCATTTTTCTTCACTCTGGTAGCTTCACTCTATTTATTGAACTTTTCATTAATGTAGGGACATACCTTTCATCCATGTGATTCAAAATATTTACACACACACACACACACACACACACAAAGAGATCATCAATTCTGTTAGCTACATAATTAATCTCTTCGGATCCTTTTATCCTTGGCATATATGTTCCTTAATCAAGACTTGACTAAAAGGCTATCAATTTTGACTGTGTATTTATAAGACGACATGAAATAATAAGACAAGTTCATTTGAAGCTTCCTTTATCCCTCCAATGATCCCATTCTTTCTATGCTTAAACCATTAGTCTTTGAACATC